TGTTTTTCTTCAGAATTGCTTTGGCTATGCGTGGTCTTTTTTTATTCCATATAAATGTTAGGATACTTTTTCCAATTAAGAGAAAAATGTCATTGGAATTTTGATGAGGATTGCATTGAATTTGTAGATCAGTTTGGGTAGTATGGACAGTTTCACAATGTTGATTCTTCCAATACAAGAGCATGGGATATGTTCCCATCTTCTTGTGTCCTCTTTAATTTCTCTAAACAGTGATTTGTAGTTCTCATTATAGAGATTTTTCACATCCTTGGTTAACTTTATCCCTAAGAATTTTATTTTTTTGGTATCTATTGTAAATGGGCTAGCTTTCTTGATTTCTTTCTTTCTTTTTTTTTTTTTTTTTTTTTTTTTTTTCTTTTTTTCTTTTTTCGTGACCGGTAATGGGATCGCAACCCTCAATGTTGCGCCCACACAGCGACCGGCAACGGGATCGCAACCCATGGTGTTGCGCCTGCACTGCGCTCAGCCAGTGAGCAGACCGGTCTCTATATGGGATCCGAACCCTCAGCGAGAGTGCTGCCACGCTCCCAAGTGCCACACTCAACCAAGTGCGCCACCGGGCTGGCCCTAGCTTTCTTGATTTCTTTTCCTGCATATTCACTGTTGGACTATAGAAATGCTACTGAGTTTTGTGTGTTGATTTTGTATCCTGCAACTTTGCTGAAATCATTTATCAAATCTAAGAGTTTTTTTTTGGAGAGGCTTTAGGCTGTTTGATATACAGAATCATGTCATCTGCAAACAGGGACAGTTTGGCTTCATCTTTTCCAGTCTGGATGCTCTTTATTTCCTTCTCTTCTCTGATTGCTCTGGCTAGTACTTCCAACACTATGTTGAATGGGAGTGGTGAGAGTGGACATCCTTGTATAGTTCCTGTTCTTATCTAGTTTCCCTGTCCAGGATGATATTGGCAGTGGGCTTATCATATATGGCTTTAATCATGTTGAGATACATTCCATCTATAACTTCAGGAGAGTCTTCATCATGAACGAATGTTGAATTTTGTCAAATGCTTTTTCAGCTTCATATGGAATGACAAAAGACCCCATATAACTGAAGCAATCCTGAGCTCAAAAGCCCCACAAAATCCATAAGCATAACACGACCTGACTTTAAACTATACTACAAAGCTATAGTTACCAAAAACAGCATTTTACAGGCATAAAAACAGGCACTCACACCCATGGAACAGAATAGAGAACCCAGAAATCAACCCACATACTTACAGACAACTGATCTTTGACAAAGGCAACAAAAACATACATTGGAAAATCCTGCCTCTTCAATAAATGGTGCTGGGAAAACTGGAAATCCACATGTGGAAAAGTGAAACTAGATCTGTACCTTTCACCATATGCCAAAATCAACTCAAAATGGATTAAAGGCTTAAATATAAGATCTGAAACTATAAAACTCCTAAAAGAAAAGATAGGGGAAACACTTCAGGATATAGGACTGAGCAAAGATTTTATGAACAATTGGGGCCGGCCCGGTGGCGCACTGGATAGTGCACCGCTTGGGAAGCGCGGCGGCGCTCCCGCCCGAGGGCTCGGATCCCACGTACATACCGGTTCCCGCTCACTGGCTGAGCGAGGCGCGGGAGCAATGCGGAGGTTTGCAATCCCGTTGCCGGTCCCCGGTCCGGTACGGGGGCAACACTGAGGGTTGCGATCCATTGCCGGACACGGAAAAAAGACAAAAGACAAAAAAAAAAAAAAAGATTTTATGAACAAGACACCAAAAGCACAGGCAACAAAAGAAAAAATAAAGAAAAACTGCAAAGCTTTTGCACAGCAAAAGAAACAATTAACACAGAGAAAAGAAAACGTACAGAATGGGAGAAAATATTTGCAAACTATACACTTGGAAAGAGATTAATATCCAGAATATACAAAGAATTCAAACAGCTGAACAGTATGAATACAAGTAATACAATTAAAATTGGGCAAAGGAGCTGAATAGACATTTCTCATATGAAGATATACAAATGGCCAACAGACACATGAAAAAATGCTCAACATCATTCAACATCAGGGAAATGCAAATCAAAACAACACCGAGATGTCATCTCACCCTAGTTAGACTGGCTATTATAAAAAAGACAAAGAATAACAAATGCTGGGGAGGATGTGGAGAAAAGGGAACCCTCCTACACTGTTGGTGGGACTGTAAATTAGTGCAGCCATAGTGGAAAATAGTATGGAGTTTCCTCAAACAACTACAGATAAAACTGTTATACAACGTAGCAATCCCATTGCTGGGTATGTACCCAAAGAAGTGGAAATCATCATGTCGAAGGAATATCTGCAGTCCCATGTTTATTGCAGCTCTATTTTCAATAGCCAAGAGTGGGAATCAATCTAAATGTCCATTGACAGGTGACTGGATAGGAGAATGTGTCATATATACTTAATGGAATACTACTCTGCCATAAAAAAGAATGAAATTTTGCCAATTGCAGCAACTTGGATGAATTTAGAGAAAATTTAAGTGAAGTAAACCTGGCACAGATAGAGAAAAACCATATGTCCTCACTCATAAGTGGGAGGAGAGAGAGAGAGAGAAAGAGAGAGAGAGAGAGAGAAATAAAGAAGAATCAGAAGAAGAAGCAAACTTTCAAAAGAAAAAGAGAGTAGAACTGTGGTTATTAGAGGGGAAAGGGGGAGGGGGAGAGGGATTGGTGAGAAATGAGCTAGCGGTCACAAAGACTACATTTTGTAAACGTGAGAATACTAATTATCTTGGCTTGATCACTACATATTGTACACATGTATTGATATTTGATTCTACAGATTACCTTAAAGTTATGAAAAGACAACAACTATTTTACTTATATCAAAAGTCTGCAGAGATCCACAGAAGCTCTGCAGATGGGCCCTCAGCTTTCACTTTCTCTTACTTAGAACTGATGAAGATTCTTTGCTTGACCACACTTAGCCAGGCTTCTGAAGCGTATGCTGGGCCCATCTGTGCACTTTCTTGTAATATGTCGTTTCAGCAAGAACTGTGTTTACTCAGTTTAGCAAGAAGCCCCCTCCTTTAGTATCTGATCACCCTCAAGATCTGTTCAGTTTCCTAATCCTCCATTTCCCCCCAGGTGATGTCTGACTGTCCTGGCCTGTCTTTAGAAGGGCTATCCTTAGGCCAATTTAGTGAGATTCCCCCTGACCCCTGAAGTTCCCTCAGTAATTTTTCATCCACCGACTCCCACCGTGCTTTCTGGCTACAAATTCACACTTGTCTATCTTGCAGTTGCGTTGAGCCCAATCTCTCTACGCCACTGCAGAACTCCATTCATAATGGTCCTGAATAAAGCCTGTCCTACTCCACTTTCACAAGTGTAAAGAAATTTTTTTTTAACTATGAGTCCTTCTCCCCACCCCAAAGTTGCATAAAGTCAGAGGAGTAAAATCTCATTTGATTCTGTACTCCACAAATATATATAATCAATAAAAAATTAAAATTTGATTTCCACATTTACTTACTAAAGAGATCTGTATTTTATAATGTGAGATAGTAATTTAATTTTACATCTTTTGAAGAAACATCTACTGAACAATCTTTTTTTCTACTAACTTTAAGGTTTTTAATCATATTTATATTTCTGAGGCTACTTCTAGTCTGTTCTGTTCCAATGGAGATTTCAGGATAGAGGTATCGGCAAAATCTGTGCTCTTTTTGGGCCGAGCCCGTGGCACACTCGGGAGAGGGCAGCACTGGGAGCACAGCAGCGCTCCCGCTGCGGGTTCGGATCCTATATGGGGATGGCGGAGCGGCCGGTCACAAAAAGGACAAAAAAAAAAAAAAAATCTGTACTCTTTTTAATCAATTTCTTCTGTCTTCAAGCAGAGTGGCCCTCTTGTTCCTATGGCTCCCAAGTCTACCCAGGGGTCACATGCACTTCAATCCCAGAGGGCATGTGAAATCAGAGAGAACTGCATAAAATATATTTTTTTATTGCCAGACCTGGAAGAAATATTCATGACTTGTGTCCATATTCACATGAATAGAGCTCAGTTATGTTGTTCCACACACAATAACAGAAGGCTGAGTATGCAGGCCAACTGTATAAAAGGGAAAACAGGGCCAGCGCCATGGCTCACTTGGGAGGGTGCGGTGCTGATAGCACCAATGCTGTGGGTTCGGATCCTATATAGGGATGGCCGGTGCGCTCACTGGCTGAGCGTGGTGTGGACAACACCAAACCAAGGGGTGCAATCCCCTTACTGGTCAAAAAAAAAAAAAAAAGGAGGGGGAAACAGATGGGCTTCTGGAAAAAATATAGCCAGTCTCGACCATGCAGTATTTCTCCCTAATGTGAATTCTCTCATGCATGTTCGAGTGTGACTTCTGACAAAATGTGTTTCCATATTCATTACAGTTGGCCTTCCAGTCCGAAACATCTGTTGATTCAACAAACATACTGCAGATCAAAAACATTTGAAAAAAGATAACAGGCAAGAAAAAAAAAAAAAAGCAAAAATATGGGTAAAATAAGCTACTCAGTGTAACAAATGCTTCCATAATATTCACATTGTATTGAGTACTACAAATAGTCTGACAAGAGAAAAAAAAAAAAAAGCAAAAATATGGGTAAAATAAGCTCCTCAGTGTAACAAATGCTTCCATAATATTCACATTGTATTGAGTACTACAAATAGTCTGACAAGATGTAAGGTATACAGGAAGTGTATAAGTAATGTGCAAATACTACAATGCTTTTATATAAGAAATGAGAGAATAAACAAATAAAATAAAATTTGAACATCTGCAAATTTTGGTGCTCACCAGTGGGACACGAATCAATCCCCTGTGGATATCCAGAGACAGCGGTTCATTCATAGGGCTTCTATTTTGTGTGAGTTCTCTGATGCATCTTGAGGTGTGACTTCCACCTAAAGATTTTTCCACACTCATTTTATTCATAGGGTTTTTCCCATGTGAATTCTCTTATGTCTAATTTTTCTGTATGTCTTTAGACTGCTGGAGGCATCCCAACTTTCCAGGTATAGAAGGGCCCTTATTTGCTGCAGCAGGGCGTGGAGGTTGAAGTGAGCAGTGGGATAAGGAGGTGAGCAGAGATTCCTACGGGAAAGCTTGTACACATGTATACCAGGAGGCAACCCAGAGGTAGTAGATACTGAAGGGCAGGGCCACCAAGCCTCCCAGGAGGCAGTCCTGCCCAATGGGACCCTCCGCCCCCATCCAAGATCTCTTTGGGCAGGGGCATTATGAACTTCTCAGGATACCAGATAGACTGTACAAAAAGAGGAGAAATTTCCCGTCTGAGAAATCGAGCAACAAACACTATGTATGAGGTAAAAAAGGCTTGGAGATCTGGGTTCACAAGGTTTCTGTTTGAGAGAGGAGTGTCACCTCCAGAGAGGGGTCACAAGAAAAAGTGTGTGTGAGTCCGGTCTGTGATCTGCTCGGCCTGAGGTTCCTGGCAGACATCTGAGTGGAGGGGCCCACTTATGATTTACCTAAGTATTCCTGATGACACAGACACCACTCTGATTAGGGTTATTGGCTGAATTGTGTCCTCCCAAAATTATTTTGCAGCCTTCTCCTCAATAATTCAAAAGGTGACTGTGTTTTGAGGTAGGGCCTTTAGAGAGGTGGTTAGTTTAAAATGTGTCTGTGCCTTAATCCAATCTGACAGCTCTCCTTGACTATTTTCCTTAGAGCAAGAAATGTTTAGGACACATGAAGACACATCGAGGTGCTTGTGCACAGAGGACGACCATGGGAAGATGAAGTGAGAAGGTGAACATCTGCCAGCCAAGGAGAGAGCCTCAGAGAAGATCAAACTTATCATCACCTTGATCTTCAGCTCACAGCCTCTAGAACTGTGAGAAAATAAATTTCTATTGTATCAGCCACCCAGTCTGTGCTATTTTGTGTGGTAGCCCAAGCATACCCATACAAGTAGCCAAAATAAGATCTAGAGCAATGTGATTGGCTGTCACTATTCATGCAAACTAGTTGAGACTGGTCTATATTCCACTGGGTTGGCAGTTTTATCATTTATAACTTCTACCAAGCTTAGTGATATGTTTTTATTATGGGTTGAATTGTTTTTGCTCTTCCCCAAATTTGTACGTTAAAGTCCTAATTCACGATTCCTCAGAATGTGGTTATTTGGCAATTATGACACTGCAGATGTAATTAGTTAAGATGAGCTTATACCAAACTAGGGTGAGCCTAATCCAGTATGACTGGTGTCTTTATAAAGAGGGGAAATTCAGTAGCAGACTACACAGGGAGAATGTTATGTGAAGACAAATGCAGAGACCAGGGTGATGTGTATAAAAGCCAAGGGATTCCAAAAATTTCCAGCACACCACCAGAAGCTAGAGGAGAAACATGTCCTCCATTTAGAACTCACATCTGAGTTTGAATTGCCAGCCTTGGTGACTTATAATATTCAGACCTTGTGTATAGACAAGACTCAGAATAGGATTCCTAAAGTAGATGATGTGTTATTCTGAGGCAAACAGGATCAGGTGCCCTGGCTGCAAAGGAAGAGGAATCTACTCAGAACTTAGGGAGATCCAGCAGAAAGGGTTGTTCACACCATGAGACAGGAACCAATACTTTATGCTAGCTGGGTTTTTTATGAGTCGAGTAAGCATTAGTCTCTTACAGGTGGCAAATACTTGTCTTGCTGCCCTACAAAGGATGTGGAATTAAAATTTAGAATTTTCTAGAGTCAGATCAGTAGATTGTAAAAATAATTCATTTTTATTCTGGGAGGTAGGAATACTAGCTCAGTCCCACATTGATTTTTTTAAGGTCATTTGTCCATGCGGGTGGAAGTAAATATGCCAAGAGCAATAATTCCTGTGCTCTCCTCTTATGAGATGAGAATTGTTCACAGATTTTTTAACCTAAGGATCTCATGATAGTTGGGAGGATAGAGGGCAGTGGCCACTGTATGAGACAATCTAAGAATGACATTATAATGAATATGTCTGACCTAACAATTATTACAAAAAGGAAAGAAATTTGAGAAAGCTGTTTTTCAAAAATGATTGTGAAATATAGACATACCCAGATTAACAAAACTGAGAGAACTGGTTTCTGGCAGACCTGCATTACAAGAAATATAAAAAGAAGTTCCCCAGGCTATAAGCAAGTGATCCCAGACAGTAATTCAAATTCACACAAAAGAAAACACAGGGCACCAGTGAAGGTCATTATGCAACTATAAAAGGTAGCATACACGTACTTTTTAAACTTTCTTTTCTTAATTGATTTAGAAAGCAATTGTATAACCCTGTGTATATATCTATTGTTCCTGTAACATATAGAAATGTAAGATATTCTTCATTAAGTGTACAAAGTAGGTAGGTGGGAGCTAAGCTGTATTGGGTTCAGAAAAATATTCCAGTTGGTGACTGAATATTTGACTGAATAAATCAAACGAAGAGAACAATAAATGGTAAATAAAAAGGTTAATACAACAAAACCTTTAAATGTATACTTGGTGGGGCCGGCCCGGTGGCGCACTGCTACAGTGCGCCACTTGGGAGTGCGGCGGCGCTCCCACCGAGGGTTCGGATCCCACATACAGACCGGTTCCCACTCACTGGCTGAGCGAGGGGCAGGCGCAACACCGAGGGTTGCAATCCCACTGCCGGTCCCGGTCCGGTACGGGCACAACACTGAGGGTTGCAATCCGTTGCCGTACACGATAAAAGACAAAAAAAAAAAATGTATACTTGGTCTTCTTTCTTATCCCAGCTTCTTCAAAAGACATAAAATTGTATAATGTAATAAGTATAATAATTATTGTTGAATCTGTAATGCTTATAGATGAAATATGTATAAGAATAATATCTAACGAGGCACATAGAGAAGGTTATAGAGATATATAAGGATATAAAGCTATGTGCAGTAGGATGTAGACTTACATAGCATTAATTTTCTATATCTACCTGAATTAAGTTAGTATAAATCTTTAGCTGATTGTGACAAGATGTACGTGGTAAGCCCAAGTACACTCACTGAGGTAACATATTAAAATGAGTGTGAAACATAACTCATTAAAGAAATTTAAATGCTATTTAAATTATTATAGAATAAAGCAGGAAAGGGCCGGCCCGGTGGCGCACTGTGCTAGTGCGCCGCTTGGGAAGCGCGGAGGCGCTCCC